CGGGCCTCGCAAGTGACGGTCGTGCCTCTTAGCTTGGAGCCGCGACTGGCCACGACCGTTATTTGCATGGATCACCCCGCGGCAAGGCGGATAGAAGACGTAGCTCCCGAGAATTGGCCAAAATGGGCAATATGTGCCAAGCCCTGATCTAAGCCATCATGCAGAGGGAAGGTAGCAGTATTGAGGAATGTAAGATGGCCGTCATATTTAACAGTTCAGTTAGTGTGAGGTTATTTATTATTATAACTATTGTATGCTAAAAATTTCAGCAGCCAAGTACGCAAACGTTAGCATCTTAAAGATTTATACTGTTATTTAGTGTATTTATTCACTTAACCTTAACCACTCATCCTTGCTTTGCGCGTATATTGTCGCACATGCGCAGTATATAAGCAATTATTGGACGAAGCTTCACTAGTCGAAGTCAACCAATGAAATCCGCATCCCATAATACCTTTACTTGTACATAAAGTACATCGATTTTTGAACCATTATCTCTGCTGAAATCATGCGAGCTAGCAATCTAGTGTAATATAGAAGTCTGTAGTTCGATTCCGGCTTGCTCCAGCTTTTTTTTAATTTTTCTGAAATATGAAATAAAATAAATGATTAATATATGAATTTCCGCGAAAAGTTCTTCTCCATCACCTCTCCACTATATAATAAACGCGAAAGAAATCGCAGGTAACAAAAATGATACCACTGTTAGACCGTTCCCACAGGACACAAATTTTAAAATTCATCAGGCAAGCATTCTAAAGTAATATGACGATTAGTAATGTAATGTTGAAATAAAATCTCTTCTCGAACTTTAAAAGAATAATTTATTTATTCGTTAGGCTATCTCATTACTTTTCATACAATTCTGTTTAAAAAATACGAATAATACTGGGATGATAGTTGGCTAACTCATATATTAATAATTTATTTTATTTCATATTTCAGAAAAATTAAAAAAAAAAGTTGGCGCAAGCCGGAATCGAACCATAGACTTCTATATTATACTAGACTGCTAGTTCGAGTGATTTTAGGAGAGATAATGGTTAACCCTTTCAGTCACGCAATTCAGGGAATATAGCAATCATCATATAAAGGATTATTTTTTAGGTTTTTAGGATAGCTGAATCTAAATCCGGGGTCAGACTACAAAAAAAAATCAAATTCAAGATGGCGGATCAGAAAATTAACAGTTTTGCAAAATTTGATGAATCAAAGATAGTTTGATAGGTTTTTAGGGCCATTGAATACAAATCTTGGATTAGGTCAAGAAAAGAATCAATCTAAGATGGCGGATCAGGCAATTAACAGTTTTGTGAAATCTGATAAATTAGAGATGGTTTGATAGGTTTTTAGGGTCGCTGAGTTCAAATCTGAGATCCGATAAACAAAAATCAAGTTCAAGATGGCGGATCCAAGATGGTGGATCAGAAAATAAACAATTTCTCAGAACAGAAAATAAACAAGTTTGATAAAAATCACAGGGGTGGTTTTCATATTAGAAGGCTATATTTTGAGAACGTTGATGTTTGCAGCTTTTCATTTTGAGAAATCCACTCTGAAATGGCAGACTATAATATCTATAAAAAATTATTTTGAATTTTATATTTGCAAACATCCTCTCTTCGTAAATATGGACTTATTACATTTGGAAACATCTTTCTATATGTAATAGCCAATTCAAACTTAATGACCCCAAAAACATCAGCGAAAATGATTTATAGAATTAAAAATAAATGATTCAAAGCAATAGTAATTGGTTGATTGCAGAAATAATCACTTTTCTGTAGTACTGGTCGCCATATTGAACCTGCCATTTTGAATTTTGTAAATTTATCGGTGGATCTAAATTTAGCGATCTCAAAAACATTAAAAACAATAATTTGCAGTAAATGTTTATTATAGAAATTAGCACTAACGAATTAAATTTGAAAAAACATGCATTTTTGTACGAATTTGTTTATAAGAAATAAAAATTATTAGACATTTATAAAACATGTACTGCGTTTTAATGTTTGAACCTTTTTCTATCTGCAAAAATGTAAAAAACCCCATGAGTTTGCTTTGAAAACAAAAGATATGCTGAAAAAAACAAGACCAAAACGGTGTTCTTTATAAAGGACACTATGACTGAAAGGGTTAAGAAATCTATATACTTTATGTAATATATGCACTTGTAATATATGTAGTTATGTAAGTGAAGATATTATAGAATGCGGATTTTATTGGTTGACTTCGACAATATTGAAGCTTTGTCCAATTATTGCTTATATATTTATGCATATATGCGACATATACGCGCAAAGTAAGGACAACTGGTTAAGGTTAAGCGAATAAATACATTAAGTAACAACATACATCTTAAAAATGCCAACGTATTGTTGCGTTCTTAGCTGCTGAAATTTTCAACAAACAATAGCTATAATAATAGATAACTTCACACTAATTCAGTTGTCAAATATGACGGTCATCTTACATTCTTCAATACTGCTATCTTTCTCCTCCATGATGGCTTAGATATATAGATTTTTTGATCAGACTTACATAAGAGGCTAGCAGTCTAGTGTAATATAGAAGTCTGTGAATCGAACGCATGACGTTGAGCGTTCTAGCCGCGTTCCTTACTCGTTGCGCCACGCTGGCTACTTGAATTTCGCTCCTACTTAAGCGGTACTCTAGACACACGGAAAACTTTCAACTCCGATTTCTTGTAAACTAGTGCTCATTGGTAACAGTTATACGAGCTCTATTTAAGAGATTAATACAACATGTATAAAGATTAGCTAAATCTAACGCGGCGCGTATAGACAGTCCCTTATAAGATGAAGATACTTTGTATTTTTCATCTAAAGATCAAGATGATTTTATTTGTTCATCTGGATGGTCATACAGATGATTGTATCTGGATACTGACAAATATTGACTCTAGACGTTATTCTTTTTCTAATAAAATAATGTTGAATACTCAAGTAATATAGATTTGAATACTCAAATAATATAGAGAATACTCAAGTAATATAGATTATTATTTTTAATTAATATAATTAATTTTATTTTAAAGAAAGATTTTTCCTTTGATTCCAAAGGATTAACATTTTTATTATTAAATTAATTTTAACTTATTTAATTAACATAGAATATTGAACATGTAAAAGCAAGATATATACTATCGCTGTACAGAGTGTCCTAGACTTTTCTTCGCAATTTTTGAACGTAGAACAGATTGAGGTAAACATAAAAATCCTATATTGTTTGACGATATTAGAATAGTTGAGATATTAATTATGAAGGAATAAGGAAAAACGCACACTCAATTGTAGGGAAGAGGGGGAGCGCTCGCGACGTAGCACTGAAACGAGACGTAGGAGCGCAGCAAAATAAGTACAGGCAACGGTGCGTTGTTTTTTCATTCGCTGCGCGCCGGCATCTGTGCTCTGAACCGTCCTGTAATTTGAGCGCTTCTCCCTCTACCATTCAGTGCGCGTTTTTCCATGATCTTTTACAATTAATTTCTCGGTTATTACTGCGAATATCATAAATAGAATTTTGATATCCATCTCAATCCATTCTACATTCCCACAAAAATTGCGGGAAGAGGTTGGCAGACTTTATAATGAAAATAAAATATTTTTCTTCTTCTTCGCATAACATTGAAAAGCGTTTTTTATAAACAAAATATTCAAAATTATTTATCACTTATTTCCTTATTGATATTCTTGTAATCACTCAATTTTTTTATAAAATCAATATTTAATATTTTTGTTTTTATTTTTTTTTTAACTTTTCCATCAAATCATATTTTATGATCTTTCAATAGAATTTTACATTTAATTTCATTTTAATTTAATTAAATACATATATATTTAAATATAGATCAAATACATTGATATGAAACGTTTTGAAGAATTATTAAAATCACTTAAATTATATGTTAATCTTATGTTTCACTTATATTTAACGCTGTTTTTTCTATCCTCTGAAATTTCATAGTGTTTTACTTTATAAATTTCAAAGGATTCAAATTATTAGAGATTTCTTACACGAGTGCGTAAGCCAAACTAGAATATTTCACGTGTCCGTTCCGATATTCAGGTTCGCCAAAATGAAAACAACCGTTGCAGGATTTAAAATTATCTTGGATCATTCCGTTCTTTTCCTTTGGAATTTACGTTAGAAATTTATAAAGTAAAACAAACACTATATGAAATATCAGAGGATGGAAAAACAGCCTCAAATATAAGTGAAACATAAGATTAACATAATTTTAATTTTAACATAATTTCATACAACATATTTCTTAATGTTTTGTCATTTATAATCATGTTTAATATATTTCTTTTTCGTACTTTTGTGTTCATTGTGTCCTACAATTTGAATTAAAAATACAACAATAAAACGAAAGAAAAAATTGAATGGTCCGGGGATTGAACCCAAGCCAAAAATATGACACACCGCGCCTTAACCACCGCGGCCACTGAAGCACTTAAGATTTTCATTATACGCTTGGCCTATAAGACGCTCGTAAATTATTTTATGCTTTTCTCCGAAACAAAGAAGTATTGACAAAAATCTTTTTACATAGAATGTACATTAGTGTTATAGAATAACCAAAAAAAAAAAAAATTTATCAAAATCCGTGACATCAGATACGTGCGGTCCCTTTGTCAGATATAATAGAGAGATAACATTGAAAAATTATAAGTTTTTAATTTTTGTTATCAAATAAAAATATTTGTCACAAATATTTTAATAACTAATTTTTATAATATACAAATATATTTGTACAAATTTTATTTAAAATCGGATAACGAGTTATATTTCATTATTTTTGCACTTCTTAGCTTAATTTTCGAAATGTTTTTTTTTTAATTTTTTATAACTCATTGTAACTCATTATAACTCATAACTCATATTATATACACTTATAACTCATTAAAACAAAAAAGTCATACAGAATGAAATCTTGATTTGATATTATGCTATATTGTTTTTTTTATTGACAGATTGTTCTCTCAGCGTACATCGGCAGTGTGTTCGTGTAGTGGAGGAAAATTGCCCGGGTCCATTGATAAGGAAGGAAAGAACCAATGATAGAATCAGTAAGCTGATGGAGCGTATTCGACCCGAGAGAAAACCTCCCTCATCTCATCATCATCATCATCTTCACCATCATTCGCAGAACCATATATTACATCGTAAGTCGAGATTTTAACATTTTATATACAAAATTTAATTAATTCTTGATATTTATTATGATTTTCATTAAATTTTTGATAAACACTATATAATTCTATTTACATAGTGTAAACTCAAAATAACAGCTGCTTATAAAAAATACAAGAAAAGATTATTAAAAAGAATAAACTTATATGAGGATATAAACATTTTTTATAATATATAAGTATAGTATATATATACAGGGTATCTCATTTTAAAAGATGCACCCTAATAATTCTTCAGCCAAGCATATTCAGCAAAAATGTTTCACAAGGGGAAGACCAGGTGACTCACCCTGGGATTTCGACCCCAATTTTTTTAATTATTCTGGAGATGAAAAAAAAGATACGTGTCCCGGCGTTTGATAGAATAGGTCTTAATTTCGGAGTAATAAATTTGTGAAAATTGGCCATATCCCAAACACACTGCGGCGCGCCATATG